CTAGATCAAATACGGCGTAAAGTTATTTGTCGCGTTATACACCCAACACGTGACAATATGTACACCACTGAACTGCAGTACTAATAAAATTTGATACAATAATATTAATTATATTAAAATACTTGGCCTAAAAACACAATAAATTAGATTATATAAAATAAAAGTTATAGTATAAAACAAGAATGAAATTCGAGTGATTGTTTACATCATCAAGTCAGTTGTTCGTTTTGTGATTTTGTTGTGTTCCCAGGTACAAATTGGAGTATTCTATATTTTGTATATATATAATAAACATCATGAGCCTCCAAAACAGTTTATTATATATACACAAAATATAGAATACTCCAATTTGTCTGTGGGAACACAACAAAATCACAAAACCAACGACTGACTAAATGATGTAAATCATCACTCGAAGAATTTTATTCTTGTTTTATTCTATGTCTTTTACTTTATATAATCTAATTTATTGTATTTTTATGCCAAGTATTTTAATATAATTAATATTATTATATCCAATTTTATTAGTGCTGCAGTTCAGTGGTATACGTATGTTAGACATGTATTTGCCTGATGATAGCTTTTAATAGCCGAAACATGTAGCAGAGCCAAACTAGGCACTGACCTTTATATAGGTGTGTTGTGACGGATTTAATAAAGAAATTGTATATTATAACACAACAGGATGCATGAAATGAAAATCGCAGTCATGATATCTGATCTAGGGAAGCAAGTCATTTGCATTATATTGTTGATGTTTGGTCTAGTGTGGACGCCGTTGAGATTGTTAATTGGTTTTATTAACAACCTACAAATCGTAACTACAATTAATTATAACACTGTTGCTGGTTTACACAATTTACAAACCCTACACACTAATCTGTTCACTCCATCTTCAGTAGTCTTCACTTATTTACAGTATAACATGGGAGCTATGCAAGTGTCACTGAATTACACGCTCCCAATACCCAATGCCTTCTCAGTTATCACAAACTATCACTGATTCATTCATTCATCAGTAATCTGTCAAGACGACAGGTCCACAGTCTCTTCCAAAACAGTTCCTCCACTTGATGCGACCTAGAGCTTTCTCCTACAAACGAAAATATCCTCTTCTGTCCCCAAGGTCATGCAGCATCTTCTTACGTCTTCTTCCTTGTCTTCTGGTCACTTCTATCTGCTCCTCCATCTTTCCTTCAATAACTTCTTTTAGAAGGCAGTTACTGCGTAAGATATGACCAATCAAATTAGCCTTCCGTTTTCTTATTTTGTGTAGGATATTCCTCTGCTCACTGACTCTAAATAACACTTCTTCATTTCTCACATAATCGGTCCAACTGATCTTCTCCATCCTTCTCCAACACCACATTTCGAAGCTTTCCAGGTGTTTCTGATCTACTGCCCTAAGTGTCCAAGTTTCAGCCCCATGCAAAGCAATGCTCCAAATGTAGCATTTCACTAGTTTCTTCCTCAAATTTAAGTCCAATTTGCTGGTATAAAGATTCTTCTTCTTGCTAAATGCAGCTTTTGCCATGGAAATCCTACATTTAATTTCACACGTACACCTTCCACATACACCTACCCAAATATTTAAAACATTTCACATTCTCCAGTTGTTTTTGGTATATCTTTATTGTGACTGGGGTTGGTTGTCTCAAAATTTTCATTACTTTTGTTTTTTCCACATTCATTTCCGTGCCATAGCACCTTCCAATTTTGATTAGTCTATCACTCATACCCCGTAGCACAGTTTCTTCCTTAGCCATTAACAGAAGGTCATCTGCATATTTCACAGTTTGAATAATTTGCCCTCCTAATTTGAAGTCTCCAAGCCCATCCAGAGCTTCCTTGGTAAGGCATTCGCTGTACAAGTTGAACAAAATTGGTGATAAACAGCATCCTTGTCAAA